TCCCGCTCCCCCCCACCGTCCCGGTCCCGCCGCCCCCCGCGTCCTCGGCGGGCCCTCCGCTCCCTCTGACACCCGCCGGCCCTCAGGCTCCCGGTCCCGGGGCTCCTACCTCCATCCCTGCGGCGCAGCAGCCAGCACCACCGGCCGCGTCAGTGCGCGACCGCGCCGACGCAGCGGCAGCTGAGGGTCAGAGGTGGCGTTCCCGGAGCCCCGCCCCGCGTCGCCATGGTCACGGCGGCGGCGTTTCCGCTTCCGCTGCCGCCCCGCCCCTGGAGCTGGCGCGGGCGGGGTCCCCCGCGTCCCAGCGCCGCCCGCGCGTAGCCACGTTCCTCGTGCAGAGAGGACGCGGGGGAGCCGAGGGAGGCGGGGAGAGGGCGGCCTCCTCCGGTGGGCGCGGCGTTCTGCCGCGTTCTTTGTGTTTTGGTACCAGGGATCGAACTCAGGACCTTGACCTTGCCGAGCAGGTGCTTAAGCCGCTGCTCTGTCTCCCCAGCCCCTGCTTTTCTTTGCGCTGAGCCCTGACCTCTTGGGAGCCAACCTGAGGAATTAAGGTTCACGACCCCGGAGAAGCACTACTACCCTCACTGGTACACCATTTGCTTCAAAGGTGCAACATCCTTGATAGTCTAGATTAAAAACAACAAAAAAAACGAGGTCCCCTGCTAAAAGATATATAGAAATATGAGAATTGTCTCACTTCATGCAGAACTGTCATGGAAAAGCTTGTCTGTGAACTTGCTAAACTCACTCACTAGTTGTAGGGTCTTTTGAAGGTCATTTTCCTGACCTTTCTCTTGTGTAATCGCGTCATCTGTGCAGAGGGACACTTTCTCTGCCTTTTCAGTAATGCACCTTTTATTGCTTGCTTTCCTTCTTAGAGCTCAGACTAAGATTTATAGCACTGTGTTGAGTAGTGGTGCTCCTGCCTGCCTTAGCCTCACCGTGGGGTATGTTAGCTGTGTTTTTTTCAGATTCTTTAATGAACCTTCTGCATCTGCAGCTAAAACAAACAAAAACTATGAATGTCACTATTGTGTCTTTATTGTGAAAATTAAATGCAGATCTGGTGAAATCGTGTCCTTACCTGCACTTCTTGGAATGGGTCTACACCTGCGGAATTCCCCGAGGCTTACTGAGCACTCCGCTTTGGGGACTGTTAGTCAACACTGTCAGTGCATGCAAACTTTTAGGTGTGGCCCTAAAGGTTATAGTTCTGTAAAGCCCGACAATTCTAAGATCATAAATGAGGTTAAAAATTATTAAAATGTCTTTCAGTAAGGGGGCCCACCCGCTAGTTTGTGGCTATAGAGCTTAGACAAACCATGTCCTTAAGATAAAGAGGACATAAGAAAACCTTGGATGGGGTCCCCTTACTTGGAAAACAACTGACACTATTGAGTTAGCCAAAAAGTTGTCCTTGGACCTCCCCTTGTTAAAATTCTTGCAAGAGACATACATTTCCAAACCCAAGGCCTCACTATTGAAGGCCATAACAACAGGATGTCCCAGGTCACAGTGCCCTGATTTCTTAAAGATGTCCTCGGAACATACAAAGGTTAGACCCCCCAGCTACCCCCGGACTTACTCTATTTGGTCATCCGGTATTGTAACTCACCAATTATTGTAAAGGGCCACCTGCACTAACCAATGCGATTTGCTTCTGTAATTTGCTTGCTCCCTCCCCATTTTATGGTTTTTGCCTTTAAAAACTATGCCTGCTACACAGAAGGTGCGCTCTGTTCCTGCGTGTGCAGACTGCCCTACGTATACGTAGATAATAAAACTTTCCCTTTGTGATTTGCATGAGAGACCAACTCTTGGGGTCTTCCTTCGCGGCGACTCGACCCTTACAGTTCTGTTATTTAGCGCTTCTGTCCCTCCGTGGCGACGAGTCCAGGGAGACAGCTGCGCTTCTGCATCTAAGTGTGCACCCGGGTGTCGTCATCATGCTTCTCACGGTGACGTGTGGTCAGCCTAGTTTCCCGTTTCTTTTCTTTTCTTTTCTTTTTTTTTTTTTTTTTTTGCAGAACCGGGGATTGAACTCAGGCCCTTGCGCTTGCCAGGGAAGAGCTTTTTCTACTAAGCCATCTCCCCAGCCCTAGTTTCACTTTTCTATCTATTGCCTGATTCTCCATATTATTTTGAAGTAAGTCCAGGGCATATTTCATATATATGACAGACATTTTGTGAAATGTAGAAAAACACTTAGCACACAAGTGAATCCCCAATATCGTCACATTACCAAATCAGTGTTCAAATTTCCAGATTTTCTTATTAAAATACTCTTACTATTTGGTTGTTTGGTTCAGGTTTTAAGCAGGGTCTGTGCATTGCAATTGCATTCATATTATCACTGAATTCTCTTTTAATCCTGTCTTATTTTTTTCTTGCAGTTATTAAAGAAATCGAGTCCTTGGTTTTCCTGATTGTGTCCCTGTGGACTCATTTTGCCTTCTGATTTTTTTCACTGTATTTTCCACAAATTACTAAAAGTTTGATAGATTCTGGTTTGTGCTTCCCTGTACGCATCTGTGCACACATGTACGTGTGAAGAATAGTTCACAGGTGATGGAATTCCATCAGGAGGTGTGAAAAACCTGTCTTCTGCTGTGAACAGAGTCTTTTAAAAAATGTATCTGGTTTTTGCAGGGTCTCACCATGCAGCTTGAACTCGTGGTGATCCTCCTGCTTTCAGCGCCCCCAGCGCTGGGATTACAGGTGTGTACCGCTACGCCTGGACTCTAGCCTGCTCAGCCTGCCCTGGGGGCGAGGCCAGCATGGTGTGCGATGCTGGGCTTCAAATCGCGTGGTCCTGGTGCTTGCCTAAGCAGGTGTTTTAGTCCGCTGAACTATCTCGCCAGTCCTATGTACAGTATTGATGATCCTTTTGGATTCATTACTTCAAGAGTTGCAAAACTGCCATGTTCTAAGTGTATCATCATAGATTTATTATGGCAGCAGAGACACTTCTCTAGGAGAAACTTCCTTTCATTAGTAATTTTGTTCTCTGAGAGTCAATTTTTTCCCCTATACTTACTGGTTTTTAATTATTCATTTTTATTTATTTTTTTATTTTAGGGAAGGGTCTACAGGGTGTTCAGGGTCTCACTACTGGGTCGGACTCATAGTGGTCCCTCCGTTCGCAGCCTCCTGAGAGGTGGGATTACAGGTGCATGCCACCACGCCAGTCTTAAATTGCTGTCTCAGCATGCCCTGGGGCGGGGCCCACACTGCAGGAACTGGGATCCAACCCCGCAGGCTCTTTAATTCCATGAGCTATTTGGCCCACCCTGGCAGACAGTTCTTGACGTAAGGGAAGCGCATGGTAAGTTCCCATTTTGACAAATAACTTGAAGAAATCACTTGCAGTAAAAGAGCTGATCACAGGGCTGGCGAAATAGCTCAGTGGTCTAAAGCACCTGCTTAGGCAAGCTTAGGCAAGATCCCTGGTACCACATGCCAAGCCAGCCCTGCCCCCAGGATGGGCTGAACCAACCACACACACACACACACACACACACACACACACACACACACACACACGAGCTGGTTACAAATAGAGAAGATAATGTTAAATAAATAAATTAGACAAAGAAGTTTAAATACTGTGTGGTTTCTCATATAAAAAGCCCAAATAACAAAGAGCATAATAAAAGTATGGAATAGGAAGTAGGGACTCTCTGCTGGGAAGGAAGTGAGAGACCAAAGCGGGGAGAGGAGGGGTAGGGAAAAGAAGTGAAGGTGCAGAGAGGACATGGAGCTTTTGTACATGGGAGGGGGGTCAAGAGTGAGGGCGCAGGAAGGACAGGAAGGGCACAGGACAAAGGCCATGAGGTGCGCCATGTACACGAGCCAACTCCCCAGGGTAAACGTGACCATCACGAACTGCAGAAGTGCTCATAACACCTGATGAAGTAGATTCTGTACTTATTCGAAGTCTAAAAAAATTTGTTTTTATGCATTTAGTACAGGGTCTCACTACTTAGATCAGACTCAGAGTGATCCTCCTGTTTTCAACCTCCCAAGCACTGGGATTACAGGCATGAGCCACCACATCCAGTCTCAATTGCCTCAGTGCACCCCATTGCTTGGTCCCCCAGTCTGTAAAAATTTTAGGGACAAACACAGTAAGCAATGGTTGCACTCCAGGGCTGAGTCTGGAGAGCCACACAGGAACCCAAAGGAAGCTTTTCTGTTCTCCACGACCCAGTCCTGCCTTGCCCAGCACGTGGGCTCAGTGATACGCCCATGGCTGCAGTGGCAGGTGGCGCAGCACCTGCAGGAGATGCAGTTCAGGACCTGCTTCACGCAGGTGCAGCCTACAGCCATGTTCTTTCTGGTTGTCACTGTACAGGACATTTATTCTTTAAGATAATGGAGCAGGCACAGTGTCCTTGATTGTCTGCCAGCCTCTGCTACCGTTCCCTTTAAGGAAACATCTTGGATTTCTTACTTGACTGGTTACAGTGATCGTTAAGTGTCTCAAGTTCATTTATCATCTATCATACTTTAAACTAAAGAGCATTTGTGAATTGGTGGTGAGCACTCTGAGGTCTGCTGCTGTCCGCAAATCCACTGCACAGGCCTTATTCGGACTGCAGAAAATGTTCTTATCCTTTATAAAGTGCGGATTAGCGCATGTGTTGAAGACAGATGTTAGCTCAACAAGGCTAGTTATAACCTGCTGGGTGAATATGTTCCTTTCAATTGTAAAAGTAACACAGATAGACTAAAGAATGGAGGGGAAATACAGGAGAAAGAGAGTGAGAGTCCCCCGAGCACATTATGGGTGCTGGGCGGGAAAATGGGGCCACTCACTGTGGAGACAGAGCCGTGGTGCTGGCCCTCTGCACCAAGAGGCTCCTGCTTGATGCTCACAGGCTCCTGCTGGGGACAGCCAAGGCAGTGCCCTGGGATGGGAGCAGTGCCCACCAACTGGCACCTGTCTCCCTTCCACTTAGGAAGGGTCCAGAGAGACTACTGATCTTTTTGTGTCTGTACACTGGTAAATTTCACGTAGAAAACTCTATCCTTGCGTTTTTAGAACTTCAGTATAAGTCTCGATGTAAGCACGGGGAAAAGTATATTACACATTCTGTGTGTGTGGCTAACGTGGTTATTTAGATTTTTTAGCTCTTAGTTTAGTTTTATTTATCTATTTATTTACTTATTTGCGGAGCTGGGGATTGAACTCAGGCCCTTGCACTTGCCAGGGAAGCGCTTATTC